GACAGACAGACACACAGACAGACAGACAGACGGACAGGCAGACAGACAAACAGAAAAACAGACAGACAGACAGACAAGCGGGCAGAGAATTAGACAGACAAACAAAAAGACGGATATATAAATCGGCACTTTTTCAATGAATGGCGGCCAGTCTACATAAACACAGCGGAGCGACCGAATCGTAGATCAAACTCATCGAGCGGATGACGATTACCTATAGCCCGGTGACTGACTGACAGACGGAAAAATAGACAGACAAGCAAACAGACGGACATATAAATGGGCACTTTTTAGATGAATGGCGGCCAATCACAGCGAAGCGACCGAATCGTAGATCAAACACATCGAGCGGCTGACGATTGCCTGTAGCATGATCAGTGATAATCGAACTGATGTCGAAAACCTATCAGTCCAACGGTCAGTTATTCGTCGACTTTATGTTAAACCATCTGATGGAACATGGTGTACACCATTGACGATGAAAAGAGTACAGTAATTATCACCTGCTAATCTCAAGGTGCTACATGAGAGTTAAGGACCATCTTCAAATATTCAGGGAAATCCATGAAAAATTTAGTGATGTTCTACGTAGTCCAAACTGACGTACAGAACAATGAATTTCTTCAGTAATGTGCGTTACGCTGGTAACCGAGTGATTTTATGTAGATTCTTCTTAATAGTGAGTAGTCTGTATTTGTGAAGATGCTCTTAAAAATAAATCATGACATCCAATGACGGAGCTCGTCTTAACAACAAGTGTTGCTTAATTGTTTTGTTGGTTCCAGTCAAATGCTGTGGACGAAAAGCCCTCTTGCCAGGCACATTTGTTTACAAAGTTCCGACGCTTGTTGGAGGCCCCAACAGAGGAAGCACATGAAATCGCTTGGCAAAGGCTACACCGTGCGCTTCAGGTTTGTATTTTTATTTTTCTTATCCAGCTGATCTCGACAAAGGAACTGAGAGCACGATGAAAATCGTCTTCAGTAAGGGTCTATTTGTGTGCTGGGAATAGGTATTGAGGATGTATGGCAGTGTGTAAACGCCATCAGTCCAATATTTTAGAGGCCGTTTCTTGAAGCCACCCAAATATCTAACGGGATTCATTTAGATGTGCGGCAAATCACACAACTATTCTTCTCGCTCTTTTCAGCTTGGCCACATCGTCAAGGAAACTTTCCGTGACATCGTCGTAGATGTGACAACCCACCATAAGCCTACGCTAAAGGGCTTGTCCAAAAGGGATGAGCTCATGTGTTTCAAGGCAGTATTCGATCAATTCCGGACGCACTGCTTCACAATTCAGCAGGCAAGTTGACCTCGTGATGCACGCAACAAGGGTGTGCAAAAATATGCATATGGTATTAGCCAATGCTTTCACTCGTCACGCAAGGCGAGCCTCAGTCTCGAAATTGCTCTTAGTTGAACGTCCAGCAAATGAATTTTCGGGGCAATGTGGTGCTCACAACAATGACACCTTCGTTCTTTCGCTTAAATTGGACGTTAATCCCGCAACTTGGTGTTCATTATTTCAACATGATTTTAGATATTTTCCATCATAACCGGTCATCACTAAGCCGAGTCATGGAAGGTGGAATGTGATGTAAATAAATCGCAATTTTAAACATTCCGAAGTGTTACGGAGTAAGCATATGGATATTGCAAGTCTGAGGCCCGCTGAATGAAGCGCCGTGTTTTCAATTCAGTTAAGTTCAGTACATTTCAGTTGAGTTGAGTTCAGTTCAGATCAGTTCAATTTCACTTTAGATTAGCTTAGTTTATTTCAGTTTGAACCCATTGTGAAATGAGTTGTAACCAGCACAATACAACCACCAAGAAAAGTTGATAGAGTGACGTTAGGAATGACTCACGACAGTCATGAAGAGGGATTTACTTGTTTGTGAATGATCCCTGTGTTCAACACTGCAAAGGAATATACTGAAGTATGAATTGACAAGAAAATCTGGCTGGAATCGTTAGGTGTGTTATTCAAAAGCGCCTCAGTCTGAAACATACAATTAGTTAAACGTTCAGCAAATCAACGTTAGGGCCAAATGTGGTACTCACCTTCGTTCTTTTCCTATAATTGGACGTTCAAGCCCCAACATGGTGTTTATTAGCTCCAGGTCTTGCAAGCTATTTTCTGCCATAACCCGTTATCAATAGGGCGACTGATCGAAGCTGGCAGTTGATGTAGATAAATCAGAATTTTAAACAATGCAAAGTGTTATGGAATGAGCATATGGATATACCATGATTCACAGCAGCTGCATGAAGCTGCCTGAGTTCAATTCGAGCTGTAACCCTGCCATTGCTGGCATGCATAAACACCCCGGAGAACTGAATTCAAGCCGGCATAAACCTACCACCACGACAGGGTGATAGATTGTGGTCGGACGAGGCAATGCGGTGACGGTGTTCCTCTGTTCCAAATCCTCCGTGTGTTCAGATCTGCTAAGAAATATAGTGAAGCATGATGTGGCCAGCAAATGTGGCTGGAATCGTTAGGTTTGTTATTCAATAACGCACAATTTCAAGGAAGAGTCACCGAACAAATCGATGTCCAACCGACAGATAGCTGGAACAATTGGTGCGATACAGCTGTAGAAAAGCAAGCTCAAGATGGTACCCATGACTAAAGGACTCGGTTCAGTTTATATGAGAACCCCTGTTTTACTTTGATTGTGTATCTTGGGTTCAAAGTTTTGACAACCACTTTCAAATCTGGGTCGACTTAACCTCTGGTTATTCGTTATGGGGTGGTATATATCCCTCTTTTTGATCAACGACACCAGTCCTTTTTTTCCAAAATTGGTTCGATTCTACCTGGGAGTACTTTGCTTGAAAGGCGACGGATGCTCAGCTATTGCGCCCTGTGACTCACTAGGGTTCGGCCCTCTGGACTGTACTCTTCAAAACTGCTTCCGTAGAGGAGAAACTCTGCAAGTGCTTTTACTATTTAGATTTGATCAAGGACAAACACGCAACAACACCTCATCAATGTCATATCTGTCCGGAAAGCATACCATACCATTGTTGATTCCAAGAATCGTCCAATATTTTTGGAACACACAAAACCAATCTGTACAGAGGACGTCCAATGAAAAGCACAGGACTTCTACTGGTTCGTCTGTTTTCATACGATTTAGTCCAACGGCGGATGATGGTTAACCGAAAACAACCCAGACACTTCCCTGTACGAATGATTACCTTATATAACTTCGGTGGATTATCAACAAACCATGTTGCCTGACTGATTTCAAAATTTCTAAAACAGTCTCGATCGGTTTATCTTTCTCCACATTCATAATCGACGGCCGTAGCAACCAGAATCCTGTCTTATCATGGACGTTTGTTACCATTTCAACTACCTCACTATTGACAAAGCAGCATTAGCTACATAAAGTGAACTACACTTATGGTTGCTGAAACTTTTTATACCTAAGATCCCATCAGCTTGTGCTCTAGATGATCATTCAGTGGAAGCAAGCCATTATTTGCGGTTCAGTTGTGTCCCATATCAAAACCAAATTCGTTTACAAGTAGGATCATTTGACAAAACCTGTAAGGTTCAGGTAGAACATGAAGTTGACGGAAACTCTGGGACTGCAACTACCTGTGGATCCTCTAGACGGGCGAAACCGGTCATTGTTTTACTATGTATTTTTTCGTAGTGTTCCCACAGTTTCGTTCATCTGCTACGTAGCTGAAAAATTTCGATTATTCTTCGCGCGGATTTATATCAAAACGGTTCGAAATATCTAAAATTCGGATACACGGATACACACTAACCACTCTCGCAAACACCAGTTTTAATCGCGGACACAATATTTACTTGAAATTCAGAGTGCCTCACTGACAATCTTCCCAGTGTTTAGAATTATTTCCAGTTTTTACGAGAATGCTGATGCTTGTTGGTGGACTTTAGGAAGAGTCTTGTGTGCGCACGACTTGCTGCTCGTTTCAAGGCATTTTCAGTCATTGGTACAAAGTTATGCTCAAAATGTCAGATACTAAGTCTTTCTTATGCGCGGCGAATCATTCGCTTTCATGATTAGACTGACTTCATAGCTGAGATCCTGTTATCTATCTGTCTTCAGGTTCCCGAGATAGCCCAGCAAACAACTCATTTAATGGAGCAGTGCAAAGCCGGTTACGAGGCTGACACCCTCATCGACTCCGTTCAAAACGTCTGTTCCTAACGAACACGCCCCTTGCTGCCTGATGTTGCCAAAATAAAAAGAATTGCAGCTGTTCAGTTACGTGCTTTGCCAACGTCGCGAAACGGGTTGGGTTTATCATGAAGCCAGCTGAACAAAATTCCTTGGTAAAAACCATAAGCACTTAGGTAAAACCGTCGGGATTCTCAGGCCTTGTGTACTCAGGAGAACGCCAGGACATATCTGACGTTCCAGTGCACGATAGGTGCACAGGATGAACGAAAATTGGCCAGTCGGCCGACGTAGGTAGAACAGTTTTGTGTCGTCTGTCGACTCAAAAACACTGCTCAAATTTCAATGTTCCTCGTGATCACTTTAGCCGTGATAGGGACACAT